TTGAAGGCTATTGTATGTAATTGTCATTGTATGTGTGTGGGTATGTAGGTTACTCTGTGTGTGAGGCAGATTTTTTCATTTCCTCCCTATTCTCTTTATGATGTAACATACTGTATTGATTTTGTATAGTATTTAAGTTACAGGATATCGAGGAGAAGTGAAAATATCACTGAAGCTCTTATCTCCTTTTCTAGAGAGGGAGTTTCTGTGGTTTTCGTTGTATGCATGATAGTTGTATCATATTAGGCTTCAGAATTATCAGCTGGTTGTTGCCTTATTTTCAGGTTAGGTATGATATATATATTTGCCAGAGTGCAGAAGGTCTGGGCTTCTAATTGTTAGTATTATGTGTCAGTTTGAGTGGGCCCAAGTATTTTTTCAAAGTATTTTCTGGATGAAAATAACATTTGAATCTTTTTTTTTTTTTTAAACATTTGAATCTTAGGAGGCCATTTGGATTCATTATGCCTAATATAAATCAAATTGGCTAAAGCCAATTTACACTCCTTAATGTTGGTTTGAAGATTTAAATAGAACAATAATATTGACAATCCTGTGAATAAGTGGAAACTCTTCTTACTTGTTTTTGAACTGAGACATTGGTAGTTACCTGCCTTCATCTTGGAATTAAAACATCCAGCTGAACCAGATTCAGATCTTTATACTTGTTAGGCTCTATAAATTCATATAAATTTGTTTATGTGAATGTATGCACGTACACAGATATGCCCGCATACACACCTACCCCCCGTTGGTTCTGTTTTTCTAGAGATCCTTAACAACAGTATTTATCCCTTTAAATAGAATGCACAAACCTCTATCCAAGAAAAATCCTTTTCCTATTTTTTAACTGGTTCTTTTCATATTTATTACATCTATATTAGCAGACAATTTAGTAAGTTTTACTTTCCATCATTAAACATTTCAAATAAGTTTAAAAGATGTTGAATATAGTTTGACAAAATTTTTTAATAGACTTTAAATTTTAGTTTTTATTGGCCACATTTGGTTTCTGTCAAAGACTCTTTAAAAAAACTTGTAAAAATTTAAAATCTATTTTTAGCTCTGCAGTTGTACATAAAAGAGTATCAGCTCAGTTTGGATGCTGGGCCATTGTTTCCTGATCTGTGCTCTAGTACTTACAAGTATACCATTTCTGTTTCTTTTCTTCAAGGAGTTACAAATTTCCTTTTAGTGTGTTTTGGTTTTTAAGCAATTTATTACTTTAAGAATAAGTCTGCCACAGGAAAGGATAGTATGCCTATTTAACAACTGATCTTTGTTTGCTGTGGTCCTAAGAGACTCATGAATATCAAACTCCATTGGCTCTCAGAGTTGACTTGGGTGATTACCTTAAAAGCTGTGGAGAATCAGCTTTGCTTACTTGCCCACCACTAGATATGTGGTCCAGACACTTTCCTCTCCAAGGAAAAGCTTGGATTTGGAGATTACTTCATGATTATAAGAGATGAGTGTGTATGTGTGTGTGTGGTGGGGGTAGTGGTGGGCTTTATATGTCTTAGCCTTTCCTACCCATTTTGATATAGGTGTTTTCTCAGTTGCCCAACGTGTAGGAGTCACACAACTGGTTTTTCGATTTCATTTAGGGAGTTAATCTATATGTAGTTGTATGATCATGGGAAGAAGGAAAGTCAGGAGCTTCTTTTCTCATCATCTTTATGACTATCAGCGACATTTTCTTTTCACACAAACGTGACATATAGGATGATAATAATAACATGAAGTTGTAACTACTAAACTTCAGTTTGTGTGCACATAGTATATACATTTCTAAATCTCCTTTGATTCAGATTGAGGCAGAGCGAATTTTATAAATATTTTATTTAAAATAATTTTTAATCCTCAAGAGATGCAAGAATGGCAAGAGTATTAATCATTTCCATGTTTGGGGAAATTCCATTTGTTGTGTTTGGAGAAATTCCATTTGTTGAGTACCTATGAGGGCATGGCATAATTTGCTAAACTGCTGCTTCAGGTATTTTGTTTGGAAAATCTGTCACAGTAGGGACACACACAACTGTTTTTTGGATGAGCAGAAAAGAAAAATATGCTTTTGACAACCAGAAAGTTCTTTCAAGTTGTATCAAATAGATCTGTAGAAGCATTTAAATGTTCTCAAGATGAAATTGGTAGCCGAAGTGTGATGTTGCAGAAAAGTGTACAGCAGCCATCTCTTGAGGGCAGACCTGGTACCCAGATATACAAGAAAGCTTCAAGATATCTAAGTTGTCCCATATCGTCGCATAGGCCATTCATGTGTGAATATCACAAAAGATTCATATTATTTTGCTAGTTTGGTATTGAGGATTTGCTTGTACCCCTCCTGAGTTTTATCTTCACAGTCTTTTTTAATTTTTTAATTTAATTTTTTTTATTATGGTGACATTGGTTACCAAAATCCATTAAGTTTCAAGTGTATAATTCAAAAGTAAGGCAGATATATATATATTTTGTGGACACTGCCCATAGATTTTTTTTTCCTGTAACCACATATTTGACCCCTTTTACCCCATGTACCTTTCTTACCCCATCTACCTTATTCCTGCCCTCTTCATAGTCTTTTAAGAGATGCTTACACATTATTCCAACTTAGAGGAACCTGGGGAAATAGGTTCTATGAGTATTGAGGAGTAAGACTTGACTTTCTGAAGTACAAGCTTCATTCATACTGATTCAGAACAACTTCTAAATGTGTCCATTTCTGAAAATGACTGTATTCCTGTTTTATGTGAAAAATTTGCTCTGGAGTTGGAAGGCACCTGCAGGCCAGGCAGGGCAGGCTGCTACAGAGTCTGTGGTGGGGTCTGTATCTGGAGGCTCTGGTGTCTGGGCCTTAGGCCTGGAGTGGAACTGGACAGAGGGCACTCAGCCGCCATTTTGGGGAACTGGTTTCATCAGCACTGCCTCAAGCTGCATGGGTAGCCTCAACTTCACCCTGCAAGCCACACTGCTGATGGGCCAGGGACCAGGAGCTGTTGCGGTTTTAACGGAGACACAAGCTCTGGCATACCCTAGCTGCAGTGGCCCCTTCAGCACCTGTCAGTGGCCCTGGCCTACTTGTCTTTTTCATTTTTTGGCATCCTAGTAGGTATGAAGACGTGTATCATTATGATTTCTGCTGAAATAGCTATGAAAGATAATGATATTTGAGCATCCTTTCATATACTTGTTGACCATTTAAATTTTATCTTTAAATTGAAATACTTGACATGTAAATTTAAAGTATGACACATGCTGATTTGATACATTTACAAATTGTAATATGATTGCCCTTGTCGCTTAGCACTTCTGTGCTGTTATGACTATGATTTCTTTTTAAAGGGTGAAACAATTAAGTACCAGTTTCTCAGCAAGTTTGATAGTTATAATACAATATGGTTATCTATACTCAATATCCAGTGCATTCGATCTCTGGTGGTTACTACTCTTTACAAGTTTGTACCCTGAAACTAAATATGTTCTATCTCTTCAACCTTTACCCCTTGTAATTACCATTTTATTAGATTTTATGACCTTGCCTTTTTTATATTTCACATATAAGTTAAATCATACAATGTTTGTCTGACTTATACCTATATCACTTACCATAATACTCTCTAAAGCCATCTACACTGTTGCAAGTGGAAGACTGAATACTATTTTGTTTTATGCGTCGCACCTTCTTTAATCCATTCTGTTTGTTGATGGTACCTTGTTTCCATTACTTCGCTACTGTGAATAATGTTGCAGTAAACATGAGAGTACATATGTCTTTGATACTCTGTTTTTATTTTCTTTGGCAGAATACCAGAAGTGGAAGTGCTGGATCATGTGGTAGATCTATTTTTAATTTTTAAGGAGCCTTCATATTATTTTCCATAATAAAATTGGCTGTACCAATTTGCATTTCTCCCTGCACTGTGTAAAGGTTTCCTTTTCTTTACACCCTGAAAAACACTTAGTGGTTTGTCTTTTTGATGATAACCATACTAGCAAAGTGATATTTTATTGTGGTTTTCAGTTATATTTCCCTGATGATTAAATGTTTATCGTCTGTTCAGTTACCTGTTGGCCATTTGAACATCTTTAAAAAATGTCAGTTTAGTTCCTCTGCCCATTTTTTAATCAAAATGTTTTTTGTTATTGAGTTATATGAGTTCTTTATATATTTGGGATATTAACTTCTTATCCACATGTGTGGTTTGCAGAAATTTTCTTCTATCCTTTGGGTTGTTTGTTTGTTTGTTAGTTTTTACTTTGCCGAAGCTTTTAATTTGATAAAGTCCTATATGTTATTTTTTGCTTTGTTGTTTGTACTTTTCCTGTCATATCCAATAAAGTCATTGTCAAGACCATTGTCAAGGTGCTTCCTTCCTACATTTTGTTCTAGGTTTATGATATGCGGTTTTACATTTAACTCTTTGATCATTTTGGGTTAATTTTTGTGAGTGGCATAGTTAGGGGTCCAATTTCATTGATTATGTACATATAGACTTTACATGTGATTATCAATTTTTTGCAACATCATTTGTTGAAGAGACAATCCTTTTGTCATTAGGCTTTCTTGGATCCTTTGTGGAATATTAGTTGACTGTAAATGCAAGAGTTTAATTCTGGGTTCCATGTTCTGTTTTTTTGTAAATGCAAATACCATACTATTTTTATTATTATAGTTTTGTAGTATAGCTTGAAATCAAGAAGGGCAATAACTCCAGCTTTGTTCTTCCTCTCAATTGCTTTATTTATCTGATGTCCTTTGTGATTTCACACAAATTTCAGGATATTTTAAAAGTTGTTATCACTGTGCACTTGAGTAAAATGTAACACAAAATCTCCCCAGGTTTTTGTCTTCCATGTTATCTGTGGACTCAAAACGTCATTGTTTCATTTAAGCATATTATAAGACCTGAAAGAACATATTAGATTTCTAATTAATATCATATGAAATAAATGTAAAAACTTTCATTGTTTTCTTTCTTTCTTTTAAAAAAAATTAACAGAATGCTGCCTTTTTGTATGGCCTTGGTTTGGTTTACTTCTACTACAATGCATTTCACTGGTAAGTTGACTTACACCAGATGTGTGTGTGTGTGTGTGTGTATGACAAAATGAAATATTTTAATGTTAACATAAATCTTATGAGTAGCGTATTTATGTTTTTAGGCTTCTAATCACGTTCAGCCTTCATTCCTTCCACTCAGCACACCTGCTAAGACTTTCTGATAGCTGCTAACTAGTAATTTGATTATAAACTCTCAATATCCTACAGTTAGTAATAACTAAAGTATGTCTTTCAGTGTTGAGAATTAACTGTAATAGTAATATGTAAGGTTTTATGAACTGTAAAGAATAGAAAATATTTTTTGTGTTGTCCTTATTTTTTTCCTTTATATGGTATGAGGAATATGCAAAGAAAAGTGAATGAGTACATTGGCCATTGTTCGTAACTATGTTGCATAGATCAGTCTTAATAATACAGAATTCTCAAATATGCATTGACCAGCATTTAATGTGGTTTCCCAGAGATTACTGTTTAGCTTTTAGTTGGACTATTTGCTAATTTTCTTGAGCTTTGGCTTTTGGGCCTTTTAATTATGTTTGGAAGCACTTGCATTTTTTGGTAAGTAAACTTGTGGATTATAAACATTACAACTTTTTTCTCATGAATTACACATTGCTTTGAGAGACTTTAAACTTAAGCCACCTACCTTCTTTTGCATTGAATCGTTATTTTAAACAGCCTAGATTAGAATCATTTTAAGGTCTCTAAATCTCTTGAAGATTCTATTCACAGAATTTACAATTTAACTTTTAGAAATAGAAAAGATGTTAGAGATCACATAGTTTTAATCCTTTGATATTCTTACTGGTAAAAATAAGATGGGTTCATTTTTACTCAGTGTTACATAATCATTTATTTAGTAGTGGAAGCAGGCCTCATACTGCGGGATCCTACTCTTAATAATTTCAAAGCATATTTCATACTGAAAGAAAAAAGTGGCATATATTTTATATATCTCCGATTGGCATTGGAGTCACAGATTTATGATCACTTATAAATAGGAAGAGGACAGTTGGTTACAAAAGTTACAGGTAGGACTTATCAAATTTTTAAAGAGATATGTTTAGAAATAAAGTTATCAGTTATGATAAATGAAATAATTTGTACTTTGCTCTGTCTAGGTGGAAATTTTTAAGTTAATATTTTACAGTTGTTTGTGTAAATAAATAATAATCATTTTAGCTGGCCAGAACAAATTTAGATGAAATCAAGTGTAAAACTAGGAACAGAGAACTTTATTGTTTAGGAATTGAGAAGTGTACCTCATGCAGGACAATTTTAACATACTTAAAATAACTTGAGCCCTTTTAGATTAAAGGTAAGAACATAAAATCAACAGGGAGATAAGCAACACTTTAATATATATGTGAAAATGTTAAATTAGTTGATTATGAATTTGACAACTTAAATTTTATTAAATTTATTGGGGTGACATTGCTTAATGAAATTATATAGGTTTCATATTTATAATTCAGTAATGCATCCTCTATATATTACCTTGTGTCTGTTTCTGTCACCGTATAGTTGACTCTCTTTATTGTCCTCTATCAGACAAATAAAGGTTGAAGTAAGTCAGAGAAGTCAGACACAGTCTTATTAACATGGGTTCTTGACTAATGGCAGAGGTGGCACTGGGTTGCTGTAGGGGCAGGAATGTTCTTTTCTACAAATTACACTCTTATGTAGGAATTTCACATGGAAAAAAATAAAAACTAGCCACTGTTTTTGTCATGTTATACTTAGATTCAGAATATAAACCAAAATATGATAGGTAAACGTAAAGCTTTTAAAAGTGGGTTTATATGGAGCAGTGTAGACTCCCTGAGATGTTTTATAAAAATTTTAATTGGTTATTTATAATCAAAATATTATCAATATATTGAATAATTCGAGAAAGTTTAGGAAAAATTCAGCTGAGATTTATTCCATTTTTCTAATCTTTTTTACTATTCATTCATAATGGTTTTAGAAAATTATCATCTTTGTTAAAATTATGTAACCAGAATGTTTCTTGTACTACCAAGGAAATTACATGTAAATATTAAAATCTTACAGTTTCTTATGTCTGTATTCCTTAAGGGCAATTAAAGCATTTCAAGAGGTGCTTTATGTTGACCCCAGCTTTTGTCGGGCCAAGGAAATTCATTTACGACTTGGGCTCATGTTCAAAGTGAACACAGATTATGAATCTAGTTTAAAGGTAGGTGGTTGATATTTTTCTTAGATACACCATTTTTATTCATTTATGCATGTATGCCTGAGTGCTTGTGTGTGTTTAAATGTTAAGAGTCTTGAGAAATGCAGAATTTATAAAAAAAAAAAAATGAATGAATTTAGGATATAAACTAAAGGTAAAAAATAGAATTGGATTTTAGGACAAAAAGATGTAATGCTAACATTTGCAAGGTACTTTTAGTGCTTTAGATTGTTTTTTTCTTTAAAAAATTTAATGCCATGAGTTGTAATTGGAAAACAGTGAAGAGTTTTATTGCATTTCAGCATGTAAAACACTTTTCTATATGTGACTGTGCACCATAAAGGTAAAGAGTTGTTTAGTCATGCTGTACCTGTGATCTAATTATTGACTATTCTTAAGGGTCTGATTAGAAATCTGTCTACCTCTAGTAGCAGGACGTGCATATGTCATTATAAAATCATAGAATATATTTTCATATGTTATGGCTTATTGATTGTTAGTTGGTGAGTATCAAACATCATTTGGGAAAAATTAATATATTTTAAATACCTTCATGAAAATTTGATTTGTCAGACTGACTTTTCAGAGTTTCTGGGTTTGTACTATTATTTTATGTTTTTTAAGTTTTTGAATAGATATAAGGCTTCCCTGCTTGGTAGAGGCATTGTTCTTTGAATTTTTATTTATGGAGAAAAACATTAGGTTTTCTGAATTTATGACTGCTTAGACTACGCTTTCCTTGATACAGACCTATTACACTCTTTTTAAAAAATATATTTTACTATTTCAACTACAGTTGGCGTACAATATTAGTTTCAGGTGTAAAACATAGGGATTAGACATTCATATAACTTATGAAGTGGTTGCCCTGATACGTCTGTTACCCCCCTGACACCAAACATATTATTGACTATATTCCTTGTGCTGTACTTTACATCCCGGTGACTGTTTTGTAATTGCCAATTTGTAGATCTTAATATCTTCACCTTTTTTCACCCACTGTCCAAGCACCCTTCTGTCTGGCTGGCAACCATCAAAATGTATCTGTGAGTCTGTTTCTGTTTTGTTTTATGTAAATAGAATCATATGGTGTATGTCTTTCTCTAACTGACTGACTCTACGCAGTACAATACTGTTTAGGTTTATTCATTCATGTTGTTGCAGATAGCAAGATTTCATTCTTTTTCTTGGCCAAATAATATCTATCACTGCTTCTTTATCTATTCATCCATTGATGAATACAGAGATTGCTTCCATGTCTTTCCCTGGGCCTGGGGAAGGGGCTCCTGAGAAGAGCCCTGCCTGCAGGCCAAGTTTAGCCATAACCTGTGCCCTGCCATGGCCACCTGGCATTAGCCACCAAGCAATCTGCAGATGACTGTCACTCACTCTGGGCTTGAAGGTTCCTTGAGAGTCCAAGCCGTGAATTGAAGCCAGGTGTTATTAGTGCTTGGCTTTGGGCTTGCTGTTCAGCAAAAGATGTGGGGCACGCTGAGGCCAGATGCTGTTTATTTGAGGTTTGTGAACGTTAGAGATTTTAGGAAAGTCCACAGCATGAGCCAAACAGGCAATTTGTGTAGAAAAGACCCTGGAAGTGGCTTGACTGGGCTTATAGTTTGGGTCCCTTGGGTTTCAGAGAATCAGGAGGACAGGGTGAATGTTGTTAGCCAGGTTGATGGAGAATCAGATATGGCTGCTGGCTTTATTTGCATGCCTGGAGGGGGAAGGGCTTAACAAAAGAATCATAGATTCTTCCAGCACTTCCCTGTGAGAGGAAGCTGCTTGCTCCACCAGCCCTTGCCCCAGAGGCAGACAACTCAGGTTTCTCCCCATGTGTCCCTGGTACCTTTTGAGCTGCTGCCTCAGCACTGGAGCCCAGATCAAATGAGTCCGATAGCAAGTATGTCTGAGCCTGGGCCAGTTAACAGAAATGTCTGCAACTCCAGTGGCCTTTTATCTCACTCAGGCACAATTTTCATTGGTTTTCATAGCCAAAGGTGTGGGATTTCTTTTCGTGGCACTATAACCCTGGGCTGGGGATTCTGGTTTGTGGCCACGACTTCTTGCTCTTCAGGGGGTCCTACACAGCTGAGATATCCCTCCAAATTGGCATGCTGAATGGAACCAGCTCATTCTGCTTCTCTGCCTGTCCTACCAGTCTGGAGTTGGGCTCTTCTCCATGCCCTCAGTTGTAGGACTTCTCTTCAGCCAGACTTCAGGCAACTGCCAGTGGTGGCTGTTCTGTAGTTTTGTTGTAATTTTGATGTGTTCATGAGAGGGTGTGACCACAGTTGCCATCTTGACTGGAAATCTCTTATTATTGTAGATTATCTTGATTACAAAGGATCAGAGTGAGTGAGTGTGTGTGTGTGAGAGAGAGAGAGAGAGAGAAAGAGTAAGAGAGAGAGAGATTACTCTGAATTAACATGTTCACTGGCTTATCGAAAATGTGTTTGCTTACTAATTAATATAGAAAATGTCCTCTATGCACTTTTATTTGCTTAGGCATAGAGAGCCTTCAAATGATGTTGATTTTAGCAAAAATGTCTTAAGTACATGCAGTTTTCTTTTTCTGTTCATTTCTTTATTTTAAATTTCTGACAAATTTCTGTAGCAAATTCCATTTACATGAAAATACAATATGAGGATGTTTTGACATTAATCTTTCTTTTGGTATGAATTTTGCATTTGATTATCTCATTTGGACATTTGCTTTTAAAGTCTTCTCCATTAATAGAAACATTTCTTGTCTACTGTGGAACAGTTTTAGGCATCAGTACTTTTACTTGAGGATGAGATATTTTTATATGTCATTATATAATTACTTAGTATTTAAAATGAGTAAACATGAATTAATGCTGTCTCTTTCTTGGTTTTTAATTTTACTAAGTTGGACTGGTCAGTAATTTAACTTTAGCTAGCAGATATAGAACCTCTATTATGTGTTTCCTTTTATAGTATATTAGCATTGAGACTTAAAATCCAAACTCATTTCCAAGCTTCAAGAGAAATTCAGATAGGTCCTCCAGGATCTTTCTTGTATTTTCTTTTCTGTTGACTTTTTCTATCGTGGTATAATTATTTGGTGTGATCAAAGTGATGTTAATTTTTTGCAACACATATAGAAATATGTTCACTTCTTTGTGGCTTATTATGTACTTGGTACAATATTGACACAGTAAGAGCTCAACAAATGTGTGGTTATTTTCTCATCTTCATTTAGTAGAAGGAAAAGAAATGTAACCACCTGTTGATGTCTTCATGAATAATAATTTTAAAAGCAGGAAATTGCTTTATTTCTCATTGGCCAAATATACATTAAGTGGTTTCCTATAGGAAGATGTGTCATTATTCATAGTCTCATCATTGATCAGTGAGGGTGTAACTCTCCAAGAAGTGTGTTAGAACAAGTTTTTGAAGTAGAGGATAGTGTCAGCTTTCAGTTCTTTACATTTCATGTATTTTCTATCTTTTTCCTTCCCTTAACTCCAAGAGACATATAGTATCATTCCTTTACAGCAGAAAATAAATCAATTGCAAGTTATTTAAATAAAATACAGATTCTTTTTTTCTTTTGAATCATGAGTTTATTTGTATGTATATTATAGACACTGAGAGCTAGTATATTTATCTGTACTCTTTCTAGATTTCTCTCTTATAAGGTATAACATATATGATTATAAAAGATATTGTAAGTTATTTTATATTTATT